ATTGCTGTGACCACCTACACATATCATCACTTTAATATTATTTCTCTTTGGGGGTTTATCATTATAGGTATATATTTAAATTTTGTTAAGTGTGGTGTGTGACACTTAGCACTGTTTGTATTGTTTATAACCCCATAGAGGGGATTCACGTTTTGCACTGATGTACTTAAGAATATTGGATCTTTTAAGTGAGGATTAAGGGGGGATTGAGTGTATGTGCACTTAATGATATTAATATAATTTTTCACTATCTTCACTGTTTGATTCTGAGAAGAATATATCACATTATTTTGAGTATATTATTATTTAGTAAGCGCTGCATTATGTGTATATACTTCTCGCACATTAACTTTACAAGAAAGAAAGGAGGAAAATACCCTCCCTGTAATTTGGGACTTTATAGGTGCAGAGTCATGACATATAATTGAATGTAAAATCATCAAGATTTATTAAAAAGGTTTAAAAACATTTGTATGCTTAAAGGACAAAACAATTTGGAGGTTTTTGTGGAGATTTTATCCGCTGAGGAAGCCTTATAGGGCGAAACATGTTGGGATCCATTACACAGTACATTTATACTCTTGGGAACTGTGATGTGTGAGAATGTACTACATCAAAAACCTTCAAATTGTTTTGTCTTGTAAGCATACACATGTTTTTAAACCTTTGTAATAAATCTTGATTTTACATTCAATTATGTGTCAAGATTCTGTATTTATAAAGCCCCAAATTTCAAGGAGGGTATTTCTTCCTTTCTTTCTTGTAAATATAAACTATGTTGCCAAAAGTATTGGGCCGCCGGCCTTTACACACACAGGAACTTCAATGTCATCCCAGTCTTAGTCTGTAGGGTTCAATATTGAGTTGGCCCCGCCCTTAGCAGCTATAACAGCTTCAACTCTAATGGGAAGGCCGTCCACAAGGTTTAGGAGGGTGTCTATGGGAATGTTTGACCATTTTTCCAGAAGCACATTTGTGAGATCAGGCACTGATACCATATAAGAAGGTCTGACTCACAGTCTCCGCACTGATTCATCCCAAAGGTGTTCTATGGGGTTGAGGTCAGGACTCTGTGCAGGCCAGTCAGGTTCCTCCACCCCAAACTCGCTCATCCATGTCTTTATGGACCTTTCTTTGTGCACTGGTGATCAGTCATGTTGGACCAGGAAGGGGCCATCCCCAAACTGTTCACACAAAGTTGGGAGCATGAAATTGTCCAAAACGTCTTGGCATGCTGATGCCTTAAGATTTCCCTTCACTGGAACTAGGGGGCCAAGCCCAATGCCTGAAAAACAACCCCACACCATAAGCCTCCATCCACCAAACTTTACACTTGGCACAATGCAGTCAGGCAAGTACTGTTCTCCTGGCAATCTCCAAACCCAGACACGTCCATCGGATTGCCAGACAGAGAAGTGTGATTGGTCACTCCAGAGAACATGTTTCCACTACTCTAGAGTCCAGTGATGGTGTGCTTTACACCTCTGCATCTGTTGCACTTGGTGATGTAAAGCCTGGATGCAGCTGCTCAGCCATTAAAACCATTGCATGAAGCTCTCTACACAAAGTTGTGGTAAACTGAAGGCCACACCAAGTTTGGAGGTCTATAGCTATTGACTCTGCAGACAGTTGGCGACTTCTGCGCACTGTCCGCTTCAGCATTAGCTGACCCCGCTCTGTCATGTGTGACGTGGCCTACCACTTGGTGGCTGAGTGGCTGTTGTTCCCAGTTGCTTCCACTTTGTTATAATCCCACTAACAGTTGAGCGTGGAATATTTAGTAGCCAGGAAATGTCACGGATGGACTTATTGCACAGGTGGCAACCTATCACGGGACCACGCTTGGAGTCACTGAGCTCCTGAGAGCGACCCATTCTTTCACCAATGTTTGTAGAAGCAGTCTGCATGCCTAGGTGATGATTTTATACAGTTGTGGCCATGGAGGGGATTGGAAAACCTGAATCCAATGATTTGGAGGGCTGGCCCAATACTTCTGGCAATATAGTGTGTGTGTGTATATATATTTTATTTATTATATATATATATATATATATATATATATATATATATATATATTGTACATATATTTAGTATATCTATGTTAACATATCCTGGTCTTATTGTAGGGATATAGGAATTGCAAAAGAGGATTACATTTCATTTGGAAAATTATATAATAATCATCAGCATTATAATCCATAATATTATTATATACAATAATATAATAAAATATATATTACAACATAAATAGTATAAGGTAAGGCAGTGGTTGCAAAGGTGGTGTACACCGCACAATACCCACTATCAGACCAAGAGGGGGAATAGACTTCTAAATTATGCCTACTGCCTATGTTATTATAAAACATAAGGGCAACCTGTCATGGGGCCACGCAGGCTGTTGTTGTTGATCTCTCCATCCAAAAACTGCTAGCAAACAAGAATGAAGCCAGTGAAGTCAGGACAACTTTATATCTTGTTCCAGGTCAGTGACTTAGTAAATACTGAAGTTATTAGATCATCATGACAGTAAGTCAACAAGCATATCCATATCAAGATCAGCAGCTGCAGCATTTCTTTCAGAGGAAGTTCTCATTAAGGGCGAACTCTAGTGTATTATTAGTAAGTAGCTTTTTTACGTTTCTATTGTACTTTGACATAATTCAAATATCAATGCATTTACATTTTGCTCTTCCTTATTTTGGTTATTTCATATCATTTACAGAACTCAGTTCCTAAAAGGAAATCACATGTGATGTTGAAAATGTCTGTATATTATCCCTTTATTCGGTGTTTAGCTCAAAAAGCAAAAACGCTTGGTAAATATCACATATAACAGCGGTAACATCAATTCACTTAAATAGATATATAAATAAATGCATGCATTAAATAAGTAGTGGTCCAGGCATGCAATATTTAGGGAGTATATGACATTTCAAATGGTTGTTAAGGAGCTGGCACCTGCAGCATCCTTAACAACCAGGGAAAAGCCTGATTGTTAAGGAGCCAGCAACCACCGCATCCTTAACAACCATGTTTCCTCTGCTGTCATAAAAAAAAAATGAAATAACAAAGAACATGCCCTCCACCCCCAATATCTATTAGGCCCTTTGGGTCTGGTATGGATTTTGGGGGAGAACCTCTCGCCAGATAGGTAAATAGTCCCGCTAGTGGTCACCTGTACATCAATGCTTGTGAATAGCATTCCCTGCTTAAAAGAAACTTGGGCATTAAAAGATATGTAGCCTGCCATTGTTTCTGAAAATGCTGCTGCCTGGCTGTCATGCTGATGTCATAGATTCAAAAGTTTGTGAGTCACGGACCAAAAATTAGGTGTCATAACTCCTGATCTGCATACTGGCTCCAGGTCAGTGGCTCAGAAACTCTTGAAGCCAATGGAGCAGCATGACAGCCAGGAAAGGAGGACAGCCACTATTTTGACATCAATGCAGACTTTCTTTAATGGCTGCTGAGATAAGCTATAGCCTCATAAGGGTTCTAATGTCAAAGCTGCCCCATAAAAGTTTACTGAGGAGGAACAGTAAAGTGCAATCACAGTAGAGTATTACAAAGCAGGAAGCATCAGTTGCTTATGTAATGTGTAAAGACGACTGCTACCCTCTGCAAGTATATTTCAGACTACATACATAAAAAGCTTATTTAAAGTGTTACTAAACTCAGGACCCTGCATTCACTATATCTGGTCTCCATGAACATGGAAATGCAATTATTTTAGTAAACATAAACAGCTAAATGCCTTTTCTCATCAGCAGTTAGAGCAGTCTTGTGACTTCAGCTGAGCACTGGTTAAAGTTTGTAGGAGGTGTATTCTTTCTGCTCTAGGAGGATGCAGAACCCCTGTCTGGACAGTGCTGCTTATCCCTGAGCTGATCACATGCACTCTCTCAAGAGAAAAAGAAAACCTCTCTAGCAATACACACTAAATTGAGCATGTGCATAAGGGCTACAAGTTCAGTCTGTCTTATCAGTGTGGATATTTGAACAAGAGGGGCAGAAAAATTAGGCTCAAAAGGTCATTTTACACAATGCGGAGGATTAACCCCTTAGGTTCCACAGTGAGTATAACAAGCATGCTTTGCTCCATATACAGACTGATTTTACCGTTGTGGGTTTAGTAACACTTTAAACATTAGCCTGTTTCACACTGCTGCATTAACCTTTTGTCCACCAAGGTACATTTATAAATGTCCTGGTATTCAGGGACTTAAAACAAGGGCATCAGCAGCCATTAACTTGTTTACATAGTTAGTCTGGCTGAAAAAAGACAAAAGTCCATCTAGTTCAAACATAAAAAAAAAAAAGTTATAATCCTACATCCACAGTTGATCCAGAGGAAGGCAAAAAACCCAGCAAAGCACGATCCAATTTGCTCCTGCAGGGGAAAAAAATTCCTTCCTGATCCCCCGAGAGGTGATCGGATATTCTCTGGATTGGTATTGATTGTCAGAGTCGGTATTAAGCTAAAAATAATCTGGTTGGTTCCGGGGCTTTTTAGTCCCTTGTGATAGCAATAAATTTAAATGAAAAAAAAAATGGTAAATAAATTATCATAAAATAAATAAAAATATAAAAAAATAGTTAAAGCACCCCCTTCCCATCACACAATACACACCCCAATGCAGAGGGCATATATGTACACCTAAATTGCTCCATACCCGTTAGGGATTGCCATGAACGTCAGAGTGAGAGCAATAATTTTAGGGCCATCATCCACAGGTAACTCTAAACTGATAACCTGCAAAGGTTTTTAAAGGGTCAGCTAAGGAGAATTTTAGGTACCATAGTTTTTAACAGACACCCGCATTTTAAAGGCTTGACATGTTTGGTATCTATTCACTCCACGCAACCTCTCCTATTTTATTATATGAAGAAAAATGGGTATACCATTATGTTTGTTTGCACTGAAGTTAATTTGAGTGTATTTTTTCCTTAAAATATGCACTTGATAAAAAGCTGTGCAAATAATGTACTACATAAAAAACTTGCAACCAGGGGCGGACTGACAACTCATGGGGCCCCCGGGCAATAGGGGATCATGGGGCCCCTGTGTCCTTGCCCAAACTCAAAAAAACCTATGAAAAAGGTACCAGGGGCATCTCATGGGGCCCCCTACTGGCCCTGGGCCCTTGGGCAGTGCCCGAGTTTCCAAATGGTCAGTCCGCCCCTGCTTGCAACTACCACCATTTTAATCTTCAGGATCTCTGCTTTTAGAAAATACTGTATAAAAGGTGTTTGGGGGGTTAAAAGTTATTTCTTACAACATAACAATGCAATGTTACTGTAACCTGCATCGACACACTACCTCAGAAGTGGGCAAGGCCCCTGCTGTGCATTATGGTGGATTGGGTTAACAAAAGAGGAGCATGTCCTATTTTTGCGGCACTTTAAGCTGTGCTGTCAGCCTATTCAAAATTAATGACCTGCCTTGAAGCAGTGTGACTTAACACCTGATGACGTGTTGTAAACTCATTAAAGTGAGTGGCGATACACGGAGATGAAACAAATCCTCCTATATAAGTTGTACCTGTTTATCTGCGGAAATCTCTTATACATAGCAGTTCAAAGTGTAAAGTTTACACAGCATTTCTGATCATCAGAAAGCAGAGAGCGGGAATCTGATGTCACACACTGCACAGCATAGTAAGGAGTGCTGAGTGTAATCTAAGACCTGAGTGGATGGATTGGACACATCCCCTCTACACAGTCTCATAGGGAAACATGCACAGCTGTGGCTGTAAATCACAGACTATATGCTGGAGCCCCCCGTGAATGGGCTCAAACAAGACCTAAGTGGAGGAAATGGACACACCACCCTCTACACAGTCCCATAGGCATGCACCTGGAGTGTGTCGGATATGCCTGGGCACACCCCAATGATTAGGATGTGCTCAGTCACACCCCCTGTGCACGCCTATGCTCATTTAGAGTTTACACAGCATTTTTGATAATTAGAAGGCAGAGGGTGGGAATTCGATTTCACACACTGCACATAGAGAGGAGAGCTGAGCATAATCTGAGACCTGAGTGGAGGGAATGGACACACCCTCTCTACACAGTCTCATAGGGAAACATGCACAGCTAAGGCTGTTAATCACAGACTAAATGCTGGAACCCTGGGAATGGGCCCAAACAAAACCTGAGTGTAGGCAATGGGCACACGACTCTCTACACAGTCTCATAGGGAAACATGCACAGCTAAGGCTGTTAATCACAGCCTAAATGCTGGAACTCTGGGAATGGGCCCAAACAAGACCTGAGTGTAGGCAATGGGCACACGACTCTCTACACAGTCTCATAGGGAAACATGCACAGCTGAGGCTGTCAATCACAGACTAAATGTTGGAACCTTGGGAATGGGCCCAAACAAGACCCGAGTGTAGGCAATGGGCACACGACTCTCTACACAGTCTCATAGGGAAACATGCACAGCTAAGGCTGTTAATCACAGACTAAATGCTGGAACCCTGGGAATGGGCCCAAACAAGACCCGAGTGTAGGCAATGGGCACACGACTCTCTACACAGTCTCATAGGGAAACATGCACAGCTGAGGCTGTCAATCACAGACTATGTGTTGGAGCTCCTGTGAATGGGCCTGAACACTCCCCAGTTGTACCCAATGACACTAGACAAGTGTGCAACGGCTGAGGCTCTGAAGATAAGCACTTCTAAGTCTGATTGGCAGAATGCAGTAGACATTTATTTTCCCCTGTATGTTTTCAGCCTTCATAACTCAGTAATCATATGTCTACTTAATTATATGCTCAGGTCCATCACTGCTGAGCCGTGTTGTTAATGAAATGCCGAAACCTAACCCAGCCTCACACGACACAATTTTTATTTTTATTATTCACTATGAAAATGAGATTCAACAAGCGCTGTCAGTGCCAGTGGGTGATGCTCATCATCTGCAGAGTATAATGCAGCCATGTAGCCGTTCTTAAGTCAGGATGGATTGGTACATTGCCAGGGGCGATCTCTTCCCAGCGAAGAGCGTGTAACAAGTTTTGTTAAGCACGGAACTTTCATTGCCTTGACACCGGAGTGGACAAATTACACTGCAGCAGACTTTAACATATCGGCCCTCATTATATCCCAGCTCCTACATATTTACCATACTCAATAATGTACATTTCTAGCACAAGAATGGAATTTAAAGTGAGCCTGTACTAAAGATTAAAGCAGAACTAGAATGATTTTGTATCAATTGCATTACGTTGTTTTTTTTAATTGTTAAACTGACATTCCATATATACAGTATCTCACAGAAGTGAGTCCACCTCTCACATTTTTGTAAATGTTTTATTATATCTTTTCAGGTGATAACACTGAAGAAATGACACTTTGCTACAATGTGACGTAGTCAGTGTACATCTTGTATAACATGTACAATTGCTGTCCCCTCAAAATCACTCAACACACAGCCATTAATGTTTAAATCACTGGCAACAAAAGTGAGCACACCCCTAAGTGACAAGGTCCAAATTGGGCCCAGTGTCAATATTTTGTGTGGCCACCATTATTTTCCAGCACTGCCTTAACCCTCTTGGGCATGGAGTTCACCAGAGCTTCACAGGTTGCCACTGGAGTACTCTTCCACTCCTCCATGATGACATCACGGAGCTGGTGGATGTTAGAGACCTTGTGCTCCTCCACCTTCCGTTTGAGGATGCCCCACAGATGCTCAATAGGGTTTAGGTCTGGATACATGCTTGGCCAGTCCATCACCTTTACCCTCAGCTTCTTTAGCAAGGCAGTGGTGGTCTTGGAGGTGTGTTTGGGGTCGTTAGCATGTTGGAATATTGCCCTGTGGCCCAGTCTCCAAAGGGAGGGGATCATGCTCTGCTTCAGTATATCACAGTACGTGTTGGCATTCATGGTTCCCTCAATGAACTGTAGCTCCCCAGTGCTGGCAGCACTCATGCAGCCCCAGACCATGACACTCCCACCACCATGCTTGACTGTAGGCAAGACACACTTGCCTTTGTACTCCTCACCAGGTTGCCGCTACACATGCTTGACACCATCTGAACCAAATCAGTTTATCTTGGTAACATCCGACCACAGGACATGGTTCCAGTAATCCATGTACTTAGTCTGCTTGTCTTCAGCAAACTGTTTGCGGGCTTTCTTGTCCATCATCTTTAGAAGAGGCTTCCTTCTGGGATGACAGCCATGCAGACCAATTTGATGCAGTGTGCGGCGTATGGTCTGAGCACTGACAGGCTGACCCCCCCCCCCCCCACTCCTTCAACCTCTGCACCAATGCTGGCAGCACTCATATGTCTAATTCCCAAAGGCAACCTCTGGATATGGCGCTGAGCACGTGCACTAAACTCCTTTGGTCGACCATGGCGAGGCCTGTTCTGAGTAGAACATGTCCTGTTAAACCGATGTATGATCTTGGCCACCGTGCTGCAGCTTAGTTTCAGGGTCTTGGCAGTCTTCTTATAGCCTAGACCATATTTATGTAGAGCAACAATTCTTTATTTCAGATCCTCAGAGAGTTCTTTGCCATGAGGTGTCATGTTGAACTTCCAGTGACCAGTATGAGAGAGTTAGAGCGATAACACCAAATTTAGCACACCTGCTCCCCATTCACACCTGAGACCTTGTAACACTAACAAGTCACATGAAAATGGCTAATTGGGGCCAATTTGTACATTGTCACTTAGGGGTGTACTCACTTCTGTTGCCAGCGGTTTAGACATTAATGGCTGTGTGTTGAGCTATTTTGAGGGGACAGCAAATTTACACTATTATACAAGCTGTACACTCACTACGTCACATTGTAGCAAAGTGTCAGTTCTTCAGTGTTGTCACATGAAAAGATATAATAAAATATTTACAAAATATGAGGGGTGGACTCACTTCTGTGAGATACTATATATATATATATATATATATATATATATATATATTAGTTAGGTCCAGATATATTTGGACACAGGTACATTTTATCTTTTTGCAGGTATTTACCGAAACATATTCAAGCTATAGTTATATAATGGATATGGGCTGAAAGTGCACACTCTCATGTTTAATTTGAGGGTATGTATATCCAAATTGGAGGAAGGGTTTAAGAATTACAGCTCTTAAGAGTAGCCACCCCCCTTTTCAAGGGACCAGAAGTAATTGGGCAATTGAATCAAAAGCTGTTTCATAGCCAGGCATGGGCTACTCCATTATGTCTTCATCAATTAAGCAGGTAAAAGGTCTGGAGTTGATTCTAAGTGTGGAATTTGCATTTGGAATCTATTGCTGTGAACCTACATCATGCGTTCAAAGGAGCTGTCCATGCAAGAGAAACAGGCCATTGTAAGGTTTTAAAAAGGAAACAAATCCATCAGAGAGATAGTAGCAACATTAGGAGGGGCCAAATCAACAGTTTGGTATATATTGAGGAAAGAAGTGAGCTCAGCAACATAAAAAGGCATGGACATCCACGGAAAACAACAGTGGTAGATGATCGCAGGATTCTCTCTCTGGTATAGAGAAACCCATTCACAACATCCAGACAAAGTGAAGGACACTTTCCAGGAGGTGGGCGTATCATTGTCAAAGTCTACAATCAAGAGAAGACTTAACGTGAGCAAATACAGAGGGTTCACCACAAGGTGCAAATCATTCATAAGCCTGAAGAATAGAAAAGCCAGATTAGACTTTGCCAAAAAACATCTAAAAGAGCCAGACCAGTTCTGGAAAAGCATTCTTTGGATGGAGGAAACTAAGATGAATCTGTACCAGAATGACAGGAAGAAAAAAAATGTGGAGAAGGCTTGGAACAGCTTTCATGTTCCAAAGCACACAACATCATCTGCAAAACATGGTGGAGGCAGTGTGATGGCATGGGCATGCATGGCTTCCAGTGGCACTGGGTCATTGGTGTTTATTGATGATGTGACAGAAGCAGCCAAATGAATTCTGCAGTGTTTAGAGATATACTGTCAGCCCAGATTCTGCCAAATGCAGCAAAGTTGATTGGAAGGCGCTTTACAGTACAGATGGACAATCACCTGATCTCAACCCAACTGAGCATGCATTTCACTTGCTGAAGGCTAAACTAAAGACAGAAGGACAGAAAGACCCAAAAACAAAGAACAACTGAAGACAACTGCAGTCAGAGCCTGGCAAAGCATTAAAAAGGAGAGAAACCCAGTCTTCGGTAATGTCCATGGGTTCC